GTGCTCAGGTGAGATTGCACGTGTGTGTGTGTGTGGTGGGGGGGTGGCGGCGGTGGGGCAGCTCTGGCCCCTCCCTGAGGGAAGGCTGGGCTCGGTGCACTTCCCGCACAGCACCTGTGTTCGTGGTGTGTTATGACCTTAACCGGAAGTTGCCTCTTGGCCAGGGACGTCCCTCTCCCCTCTGGGAAGTGGGTCTGGGTAGAGGACGGCTGGTAATAGTATTGCTTGTGTTGGGGTTGGTACTGATTATTAATTAATGTCTCTGCCTGCAAAACGTGGGTCTTGGCATTTGCCTGCTGGGAACCGGGCATGGAGGCAGGCCAGGACATCGGCCTTCCCGGTGCACTCCCATGAATATAGCGTCAACCACATTGCCAGGAAGGCTTGCGGCCCTCCTTCCTTTCTGCATCTACTGTATCATTAGCAGGACGTGTAGCGTGGTGCCTTCCTGTTACTAATCACAGCAATGCCGTAATTGGAAGAGCAGTATTACTTAACTGTAATGGTGACCGTAACTTAATCATGGTTTAATTAGTGATTATAGTTGCCCTCCTTAATCTGTCTTTAACACGATATTAATTAATTGGCACTGAGAAACCCCGGGGGTTCCTTTTCTGCCTCTCTAGTTGCTACCACTCCTGGGGTTGCTGGCGTGGACTTTCCCTCTGACAAATGGGCACAACTATGTCACAGAGTTGACGTTATCAGAATTTCTTGTGCTATTTTAATAGTTATCCTCGTTACGGATGCCGCAGTAAGAAAACTTTCATTCTCTGTTCCTCCCTGTGAAATTATTTGAGCACGCTGTACATTTGCATTGCGTGAATATTTTAACCATAATCCGCCCGCTGCGAAGAATGCTCATATCCTGTCATCCACTGCAATGTGAGCAGAGTGGCAGAGAATCACTGATGTCGTGTGCATTTGTGTCACCGTTACGACTGTGGTTACTGCTTCCTTCTATAAGGAGTGACGGTTTTTCTTCGAAATCAGAGGGGATCTATTCATCTGTGACCAAGCTTCTATGAGGTAGCCTCAGGTACCCAGTAGCAGTAACAACAGGGACAGTGACATTTTCAGGGTGCTTGCACATTGGGTGCTCTTCTAAGTGCCTTACAGTTTAATTTACTAATTACTCTTCCTAATTTCCCTATAAGGCAGCTAATCTACTTATCACAGTTTTGAAGTTGAGGAAAATGAGGCACAGAGAGGTTGAGTGTCCTCCCTGAGGTTGCACAGTGAGTCCTTGGAGGAGCCTGGATTGGAACACAGGATCTAATCTGCGTCCTAAACCCAAGCTCTTTACCTCGAAGCCTCTCGTGGTGATTAACAGGGCAGAGTCACACGTCACTGGTATTTTTACCAGCATTTATCGGTATTACGACGATATATCAATGAAGAAGGTTGGCATTCCACTTTCTTATCTGTTAAGTGGCCACAGGCCCAGGTCACGGTCAAGGTCAGAGGTTGGCAGGTATTGATGGTGGAGAGCCATTGGTCAGCAGAGGGGTGGGGGCAGTAATCCTCCCTCCCGCTTTTGTTGGGAGACTTGTTTGAGGAAGCTTGGGACGTCAGCCCCCGGGGTGGAATCATAGCCCATGAAATACGTCTCACAAATGCACTGACTCTGACCGCAGTCTGGCCCTGAGCCCTTGAGAGACAGGGTGGAAATGATGACAGAAGGCAGCAGTGAACTGCACCATTCCTGATGCTCAGAAAGTGAGTGACAGTTGCTCTTTTTCCTTCCTGTCCTGGTACCGCCCTCCCTGCCTACAGGAAGACACGTCATGTCAACATCTTGCTGTTCATGGGCTTTATGACCCGGCCGGGATTTGCCATCATCACACAGTGGTGTGAGGGCTCCAGCCTGTACCACCACCTACATGTGGCCGACACACGCTTCGACATGGTCCAGCTCATCGACGTGGCCCGGCAGACTGCCCAGGGCATGGAGTGAGCCTCCTGGCCTGGGGACAAAGGAAGGGGGCTGGGAGGCTTGGGAGGGGGGGAGGAGATGGGGTCACCCCCAGCCAATTCGCCCCCCGCTTCCATCCCTACAGCTACCTCCATGCCAAGAACATCATCCACCGAGATCTCAAGTCTAACAGTATCTGCCTGACCCTGTCTAAGGGCTTGGGTGGGGCGGGGGCTTAGGGGGGTGACTCTTGTTGAGGGCCTTCTGGGGATGCATAGGGAGGGGCATGTGTCACGTGGCTTAATAGGGGCTTTAATGGGGGTCTTTTGGTCAGGGTTCAAAGTTGTGGCTGCTTCAGGTGCTGTTCCTGGGGACTTTGGTCAGGGTCTAAAGTATGACAGCTGTGGAGGACATTACAGGGAGTTCCTGATCAGGGTCACGGGCATGACGGGTATGGGTGTCACTCGAGGGGCTTCCTGGCCAGGAGTCACAGGGAGCCAAGGTAGGGAGCATTAATTGGAGTTCCTCGCCCGAGTCAAGATCGTGTGTGATATTGGGGGGCTTCCGGTCAGGGTCAGAGGCACGACTGGTGTGGAGGCATCGATGGGAACCTCCCAGTCAGGATGAGAGACGTGGCTCTTGGGAGCTCCTGTAGTGGCCCTTGACCCTGGTGGACATCTTCCTACATGAGGGGCTCACCGTGAAGATTGGGGACTTTGGCCTGGCCACGGTGAAGACACGGTGGAGTGGGGCCCAGCCCTTGGAGCAGCCCTCGGGCTCTGTGTTATGGATGGTAAGTTGGGCCAGGCTGGACCAGGGCCATATAGGGACATGGGTTGCTGGGCCGGGATGTGGGGAGCTGAGTGGGGACGGGGAGACTTGTGCCAGATGTGGGTGTCTGGATCTTTCATGTTTTTACTCCACGGGGGTGCTCCCAGTTGTACCCAGTGTGGCTAGTGGGATATGGGACTCTGGCCAGCCATTTGCTGGCCTCCACGATCCCCCTGCCTGGTCTGGTCTGCCCTCTCAAAGGCGGCTGAGGTGATCCGTATGCAGGACCCGAACCCCTACAGCTTCCAGTCAGATGTCTACGCCTACGGGGTTGTGCTCTATGAGCTCATGACCGGCTCTCTGCCTTATAGCCACATCGGCAGCCGTGACCAGGTGAGCCCCACACCTTACCCGTAACCTTTCAGGGAAGGAAGTCCCCTCAGCCTCCAGACCTCAGACTTACTCCTTTGTAAAGACCAGGAATGCCACACTTCCCCCAGAAACCCAAAGTCTTCTGGGCTGAGAACCCCCAGAGTCCTCTGGTCTTCCCTACTCAGAATCCTCTCCTTCCCTATACATCTATCAGCCTCTGAGTCCTTGAAGTCCAGAATCTCCTGGAAGATTCAGAATCTCCTGAATCCCCTATAGCCAGGGTCCTGCAGGGCCCCCAAACACCCCGAAGCCCTCTGGAACTCAAGATACATACAGTCCTCGGGCCTCGGCGCTCAAAATCTCCCAAGTCCCAAAGCCCAGAATTCCGTTTCTCTCAGTCACAAGCCATTTGTGCTTCTGGAATACTCAGATACCCACAGTCAGTCATTTAGGCCTTGGACATCTGACAGGCCTTCGGGTCCCTGGATCCCATGATATTCTAGGACCACAGACTGTCACAGTTGTCCAGGTCTACGTCATGGAATCTTCTAGGCCCTTCGAAACTTGGGATCCTCTAGGCTCCAAGCCCTGAGCACCCACAGTCCTACAGGATGCATGGATCCATAGTCCTCTAGCCCCCAGGCCCCTAGAGAAATACAAGCTCCTGAGATTTAGACTCCCTTAGCTCCCTCCAGACCCAGAACTTCATGTTTCCCCTGACTCAGTACTTTGTAGGCTTCTAAGCCCCCTAGAAACCCGTGAGCCCAGGGATACCTACAATTCATGACTTTTCCCAAGCTTAAATTCTTGTTTTACAAGCAGAGAATCCTTGTCTTCAGAGACCCAGTCCCAAGTTCTTAGAGACCCAGAACCCTTGCATCCCCAAGACACCCACAGTCCTCAGGCCCCAATATCCAGAGTACCCTAGCTTCCCCCAAAAAGGAGGCTCCAAAGCCCCTTGAGACCCAGAAGTCCCTCAGCCTCCCAGCCCAGATCCCCAGACCACCCCATTCCTGTCTCCTCCCCCGCCCCCAAGATTATCTTCATGGTGGGCCGTGGCTATCTGTCCCCGGACCTCAGCAAAATCTCCAGCAACTGCCCCAAGGCAATGCGGCGCCTGCTGTCTGACTGCCTCAAGTTCCAGCGGGAGGAACGCCCCCTCTTCCCCCAGGTGGGTCGGGTAGGAGGGCTGGACACACTGGGGAGGGCGGCTCTGAGGAGGAGGAAGACTGCTGTTGTGCGTGGGGATTGTGCACTTGAAGGCTCGGGAGCGTATGATGTGTGTGTGCTTCCCCATTAGGCCAGGGTTTGCGGGTGTCGGGGTGCCCGTCCGGCTCTGGACACCTCCCCTAACCTGCCCCTGCCCCCAGATCCTGGCCACGATTGAGCTGCTGCAGCGGTCACTCCCCAAGATTGAGCGGAGTGCCTCCGAACCCTCCTTGCACCGCACGCAGGCTGACGAGTTGCCCGCCTGCCTCCTCAGCGCGGCCCGCCTTGTGCCTTAGGCCCTGCCCCCGGCCGCCCGGGAGCCAATCGCAGGCTGCCATGCAGAGGAGCTCTGCCCACCAGCCAATCAACGTTCTGTTTCTGCCCTGATCCTGCCTCAGGACCCCCATCTCGGTCCTGAGAGATGAGGGGGTCCCCGTGTGCTTTTCCAGTTCCTCTGGGATTGGGGGACCCTCCCCCCAAAGACCGAGATCCCTGCTTCCTCCATAATTTGGTTTCCTCTTGGCTTTGGGGATACTTCTAAATTTGGGAGCTCCTCCGTCTCCAATGGCTGGGATTTGTGGCAGGGATTCCGCTCAGAACCTCTTTGGAATTTGTGCCTGATGTGCCTTCCACTGGATTTTGGGGTCCCCAGCACCCCATGTGGATTTGGGGGGTCCCCTCTGTGTCTTCCCCCACCACTCAAGGACTCCCCTATTCACCAAGAAGCACAGAATTCTGCTGGGCCTTTGCTTGTTTATTTTGCTTCCCGACTCTTCTCATGGGGTTCAGAGCCGCTGAAGGGTGGGGGTGAGTCCAGGCAAGGAGTGGTTGGGGGGGAAGTGCGGACCACACAGCGCCACTGCACGCATCACCACAGGCGGCACGATGAACGAGGACCACATATGCCAAGCACGGCACGAGAGGAGGCCACGTCAGTCACAGACACAGACATCACGGCAAAGGTGGGGAAGCAGAGGACCACTGGCCCTCCATGTGCAAAGGATTCTGGGAGGATGGGTGGAGTTTGCATATTTAAAGATAGCTGTCAGAGGCAGGAAAGTGGGAGTGTGGGTCCCTGGGGAACAGAAGGGTCCTAGCAGCGGGAGGACCTCCCGATGTGATCAGTGGGGTTGAGGGGTGGTTAAGAGAAATCCTTGCGGGGCTGGAGAGTGGCATCTGAAGAGGTGGGGTCTCCAGAGATGTGAGATCCCTGGAAAGGGGCTTGAAGGCAGGGGTTTCTTCAAGATCTAGGAAATCTTGATGGGGAACAAGGTGTCCTTGAGTGATCTAGGACCAGGAGCGTGGTTTCCCAGGAATTTTCAGGGTTCCAGGAGGGGACTCAGTGGTGTTAGGGCCAGAACGTGTTCCCTGGTGTTTGGGAGCTTCTGGGAGGGAAAGGGCACTCGGGGGGGTGGGGGTGGGGGCCAGGAGTAGACGTCTTCAGGAGTTCGCAGGTTCTAAAACTGAAAAGTATGTCTCGAGGTGGCCGGGAGTGGCCTTTTAAAAGGACTTAGGAATTCCAAAAGTGAGAAGTGGATGCAGGACCAGGAGTGCGGTCTCCCCAGGGACTTGGGCATTCTGCGGAATGAGAAGAGGGATCTGGGCAGACCAGGAGTAGGGCTTCTCAAGGGGTTTGGAGACTCCAAAAGTGAGAAATGGATTCAGGGCCCAGAGAGGGGTTGCCCAGGAGGAATTAAGGGTTCTCAGGGTGGGGTGTCAGTCGGAGAAGAGGCTGGCGAAAGACTTCCTCAGGCTGCGGATGGTCTCAGCTTTCACCTCGTCCTGGCTAAGGCTGGGCCTGGGCGGGGCTGGCTCTGGAAGGTTGAAGGCATTGGTCAGAGACTGGGATTTGCTAGAGAGAGACAAGGTGGAGGCATGGGAGGAAGGGGGTGGGGAGGAAGGGAGGAAGGGGAGAGAAACACAATGTTACCCCAGGCCCGGCCCAGCCCTGCCCCTCTAGTCCTGGGGCTGTGCCTGTGACCCTCCCACCCACCAACACAGGCCTGGACCCTGATGGACTCTCAGGTGGAGTGGGGGAGCCCTGGGCCAGACTGGGAGGACTTGGATCCAAGGTGAAGTCTGGGCTTAGCGGGCTGCACCTTCTCTTCAAATTCTGGGCTAGCCGGGGAGGAGCTGGATGTAAAGGTGAAGATGGGCAGGGAGGCTCCCAGTCTGCGTGAGGAGTCAGGGAGGGAGAGCGGTGGGGTTTGCACCAAGGCCAGGCTGGCATGGATGGGGGGCAGTCTAAGGGGGAGCACTTGGATGTGGTGGGGAGTACTTTGGAGCTAAGGCGGGGGTGGGGGGAGGCCTGGAGTGGACCAGAAGAGGCAGAGAGGACGGCGTGATGATTCGGGAGGAGACTGAAATGGCCCAGAAGGGAGCCTAGCCTGTAGGACAAGCTGGGGAGAGCATGAAGTGACAGAGGGGGGACTGTGAGTTGGCCGGGAAGAGTCTGGGGGCTTGGCTGGGAGGAGTCCGGATGGGCAGGAGAAGGGTGCGATTTGCTGGGAAGGCTCCAGTTGGGCTGGGTGGAGGATTTGATGGGCGGGGTCAGTCAGCCAGAGTCCTGGGGGGCCGGGGGAGGGGGCTTTCCCAGGGGCCTAGTGGGAAGACCCTGAACTGAAAGAGGGGTGTGTGTGTGTGTGTGTGTGTGTGTAGCTTGGATGAGGGGTCTGTCCACACTGAAGAGTGAACTCTCGGGACTCCTGTATAGGACCTGGGTCCGAGGAGCCTGGGAGCTGGGGCCACTCTTCTGGTGCAGGAGCCTGTTTTGTGAGCAGCAAGGCGAGGGCTGCCGTGGGGTCCTCTTACTTGAGCTGGGGGTGCGGAGGTCCCCCGGCAGTGGCGGTGGCGGGTGGCGGCACGTCCTGGCTGGGTTTCTGGGCCAGCTGTGGCTTGGCGGGTCGTCCAGCAGGGCCCGGGCCACTGGGCCGTGGCTGCTGTGTGGTGGGTGGCCCGGTGCGGGGCATGGGCCCCGCCTGGCTGGCCTGGCGTGTGGGGCCGGCGGGGCCTGGGGGTTTCTGGGGTGGTCCCTGGCGCTGCTGACCACTCGGTGGGGCCCCTGAGGCCTTTGGCGGAGCCTGACCGGAGACCGATGTCTGGCGGGTAGCCTGTGGGGGGCCCGCCTGGCGCTGGGGAGATGGGGAGGCGGGTGGGCGGGCTGTTGGAGGTGCCCCAGGGCCTCCTGCCACTGGCCGGGATTGGCGGCCTTGACCCTGGGTCATCGGTGGGGCCTGGGCCGCAGGCTGCTGGGGTGCTGACGTGGGACTTGGTAGGCGTTGGGGCAGGGGACTGCCAGCCGGGGGTCCAAGGCCGGAAAGGTGCTGCTGGCCCTGCGGGGGCGGGCGCTGCTGCAAGGGGGGTCCCTGGCGTTGGGGGCCCGGGCCAGGCTGTGGAGGGCCACCTGAGGAACAGAAAGAGTGCACAAGTGAGAGGTGGAGGGGTGGGGGGTGCCAGTACAGTAGGGGCCCAGGAAGCCGGCCCCTCACTTACCCTGCGGTGGGGGTCGTTGCTGAGCTGGAGGCCCCGAGGGCTGCTGGGAGGTCTGGCGGCCCAAGGGCAGGGCCCCTGGGGACGGAGTCTGCGGCAGAGGAGTGGAGCAGGAGAGGTTAAAAATAGTCACCGGCCAGCCAGAGCATCAGCCAATCAAAATGACACGGGCTCCCTGTGTGCTGGGTGTTTACCGTCTGTGGCTGAGCTGAGGGGAGGTCAAGCTGGGGGGAGTGGGTTGGGGGGGGAGGGTTGTAGGCACTCAGGGAAGTCGGAGGAGTAGCGGCTGTTTTATCGAGTTTTACAAACAGTTGGTAATTGCCGCCTCACATGTGCAAAGGGAGTGCCCTTAGCCTGCCGATTCTCAGCCCCCCCTCAGGCCAGCCCTGCCCTTGCTCAGTGCCAGGGGCCTGACCTGGCCGTGGGAGCCCCTGCCGGGGGAGGCATCCCGCTGCCGCTGCCTGGGCAGGGCCTGGGCCATCTTGTTGACCACAAGCTCTACGATGAGCTGCTTGTCTTCATCTTGGTGGTCCCCGATGAGCGGCATGGAGGAGCCCACCACCTGGGGGAGGGAAAGGGATCCGGTGAGGAGAGCGGCAGGAAGTGCATGGGAGGCTGACACTGACCAAGCGCCCTTATGTGGGGGAAAGGCTCCGCTGCTGCCAAGGAAAGATTCAGTTTGAGAAGCAACAGTTTTGTGAGGCGAGAAAGGTTGTCCTTTACAAGGTAGTACAGCAGCTTAGAGCACAGCTCCACAAACTAGGGCCCGTGGGCCAAATCCAGCCTGACACCTGTTTTATTTTTGTTTTAATTTTTTCTAACATTTATTCATTTTTGAGAGACAGAACAGAGTGTGAATGGGGGAGAGGCAGAGAGAGAGGGAGACACAGAATCCGAAACAGGCTCCAGGCTCTGAGCTGTCAGCACAGAGCCCGACGCGGGGCTCGAACTCACAGAGTGCGAGATCATGACCCGAGCCGATGTGGGGAACTGAGCCACCCGGGCGCCCCAGGGAACGTTTGTTTGGTACGTGTTGTCTTTGGCTGCTTTTGCAGAGAAGCTGCAACAGAGACTGAATTGGCCGCACAGCCTAAAATGTGCGCTGCCTGGCCCTTGGCGGAAAACATCTGCCAGCCCCTGCTTTGTAGCTTGCTAGGCGCCCTGTCACTTACAGAGAACTTCGCGGTGGTTAGAGTACTTTACAGTTCACAGAGCTCCTTGTCCTTTGCAAGGGACTAGGGGAACATATGGTGTGTTTAGACTTTAGAAAAGTGCTCTGCATGGGCACCACTGTTTACAAAATGCCTTACCATGTAGACAGCACGACTGTTTACCAAGGGCTCCAATTGTCAAGGCATTTTATGGTTTCCAAATTGCTTTACCATTCGCCAGAGGCACTGCTCTCTACGAAGAACTTCAGAATTTTGCAACTGCTTTACTTCAATAATGAGGACCTCCCAGGTTACAGAGTTTCTTTCTTAAAGTTTTAATTTTTTAATGTTTATTTTATTTTTGAGAGACAGAGAGGAAGGAGGGGAGGGGCAGAGAGAGAGAGAGAGAGAGAAATACAGACAGACAGACAGACAGACAGACTCGGAACAGGCTCCACGCTCTGAGCTGTCAGCACAGAGCCCGACATGGGGCTCAAACCCATGAACCGTGAGATCATGACCTGAGCTGAAGTTGGACGGTTAACCGACTGAGCCACCCAGGCGCCCCAATGCAGTTTTATAAAGCACTTGGCTGTCCATCAAGCACTTCCTAATTTATAAGGTACTTTACAGTTCACAAAGTGCCTTTGTAGTGGCCTGGGCCAGGGAGAGCTTCACGGCTTATGGGACGATGCTGCCATGCACCTGCCCCACCTGGTGGCCTCCCAGTTCCTGGGTGCTCCCACCTCAATGATGTGATCCCTTCCATCCTTGCCATGCAGTGCCTCCACGGCGCAGATGTCCAGTCCCCCAAAAATCTCCGAGCACGTATCCACCCATAGCTTGTACCTGCCGAGACAAGCCTGTCAGTGCCTGGCCGGCCCACGTAGCTGCGCTTCCCCGCCTGGCATCCCCTCCCTCCGAGTCCCCTTCACCCCCACCGGTCAGACATGGCGATCTGCTCGAGCATGGCGGAGCCGGTGTTGGTCTTCCAGTTTCCTGACACTGACGTCCTCCTGGGGGGATGAGAGAGGACAGAAGCTCAGGGGAGCACGGGCTGCACGAGGGCAGGGGACCCCTACGCAGGGCCCAGCCTCTCCACTCACATGTAAGCTTTGTAGTTCTGCCCGATTTTCTGGACACGCACGTCATACTTGGCGTCAATGAAGGGCTCGGCAGTGGCGTACGTCTTGGTCAGTGCCACGACGCTCGCGATGTCCTGGAAGTCGTGCTGGTTGTCCACTTTGACCTGCAGGAATGGGGTGGGGATCAGGACCTGATTGGGACAAGGCGGCAGTGGGCAGTGGGGGTGCCTTGGGGCGGGGGCATGCATGTAAATGACACGGGTGAGCCCAATACGTAAGAATTCAGTGGATACGCCTGGGCACTCAGGGAATGCATAATTCTGGGTGTCCTGGTTTTTATATGTACACAACAGACACACAGGTGGGGATATGCAACTTTGAACACACTAGGGACAATGGAGTTGTCCACGTTAAATGGGTAAGTTATACGGTAGGTGGGTTATATCCCAGTAAATCTGTAGAAAAACTGTATATATGGTCTATGCATACGGATCCCCAGACACAAAAACGGTTGTATACACAATATACAAGCATACAGAAGCATGGACACAAGCGTACACATTACAAGACTGCTTTCTACGCACAGAGACAATCAGGTAGACGGAAAGCACGTAGGAGCCCAAGATGCTTGAACGTAATAGAGTACGTAGCGTGTGTTCAACACAGGCCGTGAGTATACACACAAAATGCTGGATACACGAACAGACTAACAGGACGTATAAATCTGGTTGAATGTGTGACAAAATCTAAGAATGTGAGGGAAAACAACCCAAAGAGACAAGGACACCCCAGGACACAGTCACACAGAATTACTGGTGTGCCTTGAATAAGCAATATATGCACAGTGCCAGGAGCACACACCATTTCCACACACACACACACACACATATACACACCCCACCTGGGGACTCACCTTGCCCATCCCGGAGTGTGCATGCCCCATCTTCACAACCACAGGGTATGTCGTGCTGCTGAGCTGGTAGGGTGGAAAGGCAGAGCACCGTCAGGGCAGGAGGGCCATTTCGGGGTAGGGGAGGGGTGGGGCGACTGAGGGAAGCCCACTCTGTGGGAGCCACATTAGGTGCCATTTCCCAGAAGAGGCGAGTCAGGAACAGTCAGCATGGGGTGGGGGTGGGGGGGGTTACACACGCCTTTCTGGGCAGCCTTTCTGTGCCCAGAATCGAACTCAGAGCCCTGCCTGACTGTCCCTCCCTCCACTACCCTCAAGTCCCAGACATCCCGCCTCTGCTTTCCCGCGCAGATGCCTGGGATAGGAGTGGGGGTGGGGGACTTTTCCGGAAAAGGGAAAGTTTGTTTGTATAATGAATGGATGATAGAGAAGTGAGTGTGTGCATGTGCATGCACGGGGGTGTGGTGGCGAGCATGTAGTAACCGGACCCCTCAGCCAGGCCTGTGTGTAAGCATCGTCCATACACAGACGCAACCCAGAAGCGTGCACACAAACCCTCAGAACTCAGATCTACACAACCAAGCCCAGAGATTGCCACGTAGGTTGAGACCCACCAGATGGAGAGACCCACAACCAACACAGACTCAGAGCACACCTTGCTCTCTGGCTGCAGAGGTCCACACTGTCATTCAGCCCATCAGGTGCTCCTGGCCAGCTTCTGCCCAGCAGCACACACTTTGGGGCACACACACACACACACACACACGCACGCACGCACACAGTCCCTTTCCTGTTGCCCAAACGCACACAACAGAGGGACACAAATAACATGAAGGACTGTGCATGCAATACAGACACAACCACTGAATGCGGAGGCACACGCAACCCGGACAGTCACACACGACACAACTGGGCACCTATTCAACACTCACAGACACACAAGCGACACCCCTGGGGCACACGCACAACGAGGAAGACCCACATCACATATAGAGGTACACACTCTTTAGGTTTTCACATAACCACCAAGACTCAGCCCAGAGAGCCACCATACCTGGGGGCACACCCAACGTACATCTAGGGACGGGCACACACAACGCGCCTAGCCACACATACAGACGGAGAGGCGCACACACGGCCAGGGACACCCACAGCCTTCCTAAGTATAAGCGCTCCCGGGTGTGTGCGTGCACACGCATACGCCCAGGTGTGGGGATGCCTCAGGCCTCCCGCGCCCCCGGGGGCGGGCAGAGGGGCCCAGGTTGCGCGACCCCAGCCCCAGCACGCGGCGCGCACGGCCGCGCCATCTCCTCCGCTGCCCCGCGGGGTAGAGAGATGGCGTTCCCGGAGGGGCTGCCGGGGCGGCGGCGGTTCCCGGTTCCCGACAGGCACAGGAAGCCCGCAGGCTCAGGGTGACCGATTGACCTTCAGGCCTCACCCTCTCTCCGCACCCCCACCTTCCTCATTTCCCAAATGACTGGCGTCATCGCGGGGCCCCCCGAGAGGCACCGCGTTGGGACGGGGGTTGCAGGAATCCTCTAGTTAGCATTCCGGGGCAGCGGTGCCGAGACAGCGCTTGACGTGGGGCACACGCACAACTCAGGAACACCACCCTGCACAATTACATGCGCACCCTAGACCCGCTCTGCAGAGGCAGACGTAGGAGTCCCAGGAGCGACACGAAACACACAGGTGCACCCAGCACCCAAGGACGCACACACAATTCTCAGAGGCAGGCACAGAGGAGAGCTGCGCGCACATGCACGCGCGCGCACACTTCCACCTCGAGGTTTCTAGGCCCCTCTTTTCTTTTTTTTTCTTAAGTTTATTAAATTTTTTTAATGTTTATTTATTTTTGAGAGAGAGAGAGAGAGAGTGTGTGTGTGTGTGTGTGTGTGAGCAGGGTAGGGGCGGGGGAGGAGACACACAATTTGAAGCAGGCTCCAGGCTTTGAGCGGTCAGCACAGACCCCGATGGGGCTCGAACTCACATACCTCGAGATCATGACCTGAATGGAAATCAGATGCTTCACGGGCGGAGCCACCCAGGCCAGGCCCCTCTTTTTCACAAACCCTCCTTGTTTCGCCTGGACTTGAGTCTGAACACAACCCTGTGTGTACGTGTGTGTGACTGTGTCTGCAGGGAGCTCTGCACTCCAGGATCCCCTGGAGAGCCCTCGGTTTGCATCTTGGCTTCGCCTCTTCCCTAAAGCCGTGTGGAAGCCCGGGGCAGGTCGCCTAGCCTTCTCTGGGCCTCAGTTTCCTGATCTGTACAAAGGGCACCACGAGGCCCAAGCCCTTGGCACGTCATGAAGATGGCCAGGCATCTGCTCTGCACACCCAGCTGGGCCCCCACAGCCCCCACACCCGTGCAGTGCTCCCCAGGTGACTGCACACCCGGATTCCCCTCCACGAAACCCCACTGGTTTCAATACCCGCACTCTAACCCGGATGCACAGAACCCCTCACGTGTAGACAGTCGGCCACACTCGCTGCTGACTCAGGCTTGAGAGAGCTGGCATCCGAAGCAGTGTCAGAGAGGAGCTGCAGCAAGGTTTTCCCTTCCCGCAAGGCTCCCTCTGGCCGAGCTCTAACTTACTCAGCCCCTGCCTCATTCACTCTCCCTCCCCACTTTCACAACCGGTGGCTCCCAACTCCTGGTTTACTTCCTCTCCCCCCCCCCCCGCCCGCCCCCCCCCTGACGCGGGGGGGGGGGGAGGCCGTTTCTTCATTCTCATTCCTGGGTAGGTCACTCGACCCCTGACCCCTCGGTGTATCTCCGTTTCCTCATCTGCAGAAGGAGATACGCAAGTCCCTAAGTCACAGGCAAGTTGCGAGGAACAGATTACATACTTCAGGAAAAGAGCTGAGCACGGTATCTAGCACACAGGAAGCCTCCATCCTCAAAAAGTGTTGGGTACTGGTTATTAGTACTGGGTCGGCATCCCTTGTCCAGCTGATGTGAGTTACCAAGGAGGCAATCGGGACTGGCTGAGAGATGAAGTACTCACAAAGATTCTAGAACGGTGTTCGATACCCACAGTAGCGGGGGTGGGGGTGGGGGTCGTTTTGGTGGTGGTGGTGGTGACTGGGCTAACCTCCTTGAGTTAAGCAAGCTTCATTCGCAAGGGGGCCATGAAGACTGCATGAGACAATTTACACAAAGAACACAGGGCAGGGGCGCCTGGGTGGCTTAGTGGGTTAAGCGGCAGACTTTCTCTTAGGTCATGATTTCGCGGTTCGTGGGTTCGAGCCCCGCGTCGGGCTCTGTGCTGACTGCCGGCTCAGAGCCTGGAGCCTGTTTCAGAGTCTGTGACTCCCTCTCTCTCTGACCCTTCCCTGCTCACGCCGTGTCTCTCTCTCTCTCTCTCCTAGAAATAAATAAAACATTAAAAAAAAAAAAAGAACATAGGGCACCGCTCGGAGTAAGTGCTCAGTAAGTGGCTGCCAGCATCGCCACCATCACTATTATTACTGGTCTGCTCTCCCTGAACCAACAAAGGATGTTAATTAGCCCTTAGAGGCCTTTCCCAGGACCCCGGGAAAGATTCAGGCAGCATCTGGAAGCTGGTGGGCAGGGATTGCTTCACAAACACACCCCCCCCCCCAGAGGTGTGGGAGGGTTGGTGGGGAAGGGGCAGGGCAGGATGGGAGGGGATCCGTTTTCTACTGACTCACAGCCCTCTTTCACCACCAGTGAACCGCCCCCCCACCCTAATGCTCACTAATTCACTGGCACTTTCCCCACTTGTCAGGGCTGTGCCAAGCCTGGAGTAAGATCATGGCACCAGTTAGCCTAGGTTCAAGTCCCAGCCATGCCCTGTGATCCTGGGAAGGTTCTTCAATCCCTCTATGCCTCACATTTCCTCATCTGTAAAATGGGAAAAATACCAGCACCCATCTCAGAGGTTTACTGTGAGCTTCAAGTGAGAAAAACTAGGCTGAGTGCCTGGTACACAGCTGTTGCTGTATAAATGCTGATTATTTGCCTATGTATTTGTTTATTTTCTCAAGGATTTTATTTTTAAGTAATTTCCACACCCAGCATGGGGCTTGAACTCACAATCCCGAGATCAAGCATTCCATGCTCCACCGACTGACCCAGCAAGGCGCCCCCTGTCTGTGTTTTCTGTGAGGGATTATACAGGCTCTGGCTCCAGGCTGCCTAAGTTCAAATGCCAGTTCTGTCACTTATTAACTGTGATCTTGGATACGTCACTGGAACCTCTCGGTGCCTCAGTTGCCCCACCTTGTATTCCTCCTCCACTCACCTGCCTTACTCTCGTCACTGCTTCTACCTAAATTGTTTCCTCTCTGCCTCCCTCGCCCTTCACCAGACTGTCAGATCTACCCGGAGAGGGATGTGTATGTGTGCTTGACACACAGTAGGTGCACAAGAAATGTTTACTAAAGAGATGGACTAACTCAGGCTTCAGCCACGGGGAGTTTGGGGGATGTGGGTGATGGGGTAGACTTTGGAGAGAGTTGGAGACTTTAGGGAATTGCCCTGAGTAAGGGGTGGGGGAGGGTAGTCCTGCCTCTGAGTCCTCCACAGACGCTGCCTGGAAGGACTAGTGACGGATGGACTGACGGACAGATGTGCAGACGGGGGGTGGGTGGCCAGGGCGAGGCCCGGGAGGGAGGGAGAGGAGGAGGGCGCATCTCCTTTTCGGCAGCCCTGGGCCCGCCCCTTGGCCTCCACGGAGGGTGGGCGGATGAGTAATGCATCCAGGAAGCCTGGAGGCCTGTGGTTTCCGCACCGCTGCCACCCCCGCCCCTCTCGTGGACATTTATCCTCCGCTGCTCAGGCCCTGCCACCGTCGCCGCAGACCCAGCGCCTGGAGAGATCCACCAGAGGTAGGCAGGGGCCCGGGAGGCCCGCGGGGCCGGAGCTTGCCTGCCCGATGCCCGGCTGCTGCGGCCTGGCCGGCGCGTACCAGGACCCTGGGCTGGTCAAGGGGTGGAGGGCGGGGTGGTGCTGGAACTTCCCCCCCAATTCCCACACTCCAGACTCCTTGGAACCCCGACCTCTATCCCCGACTCCTCCAAACCCGTGAGCCCCCCTAA